GTGCTTTCAGTACTCTCAGTACTTTGATTTATATCAAGACATCTAATACACGCTGGTAATACTACATCGATTACTACGCACTCGCAATCTTAAAAATGTGGACAGTTTACACCTCTGTTGCAGTGGGTAAACATCAGCCTTTCCTTGGCGAGGCAAACCCAACCGATATAGACACAAAGAAAGTTTCAATAAATCGTCCTGACGTACATAGTGGACGGACTATATGACGACATTAACGGACTACATTCGTATACAACACCGCCCATTGGCTGCCTATATTTATCCAGTCTTTCTCTGACGTCATTTAGCACTCCGGGAATCCCCCACTACTCAGCCAGCTACTCTTGACTTGTACAGGTTATTATTAGAAGGCCAAATCAGTACTTACAGTGAAAAGCCCGTCAAATTGTTAGCCAACAATTTCTAGTTATTATTTATTATTATTAATAATAAAACATAGCACCATAACAAAGAAATAGGACATTTAATGCACCATCTATCTCTCACAATTAATATTATAAACATTTTTTGACACAACACTTACTTCACTCTTAAAAAATAATACCGATCCTTATTTATGCTAAAGACAAAAAAAACATAAATAACAAAATAATCTATATATAGTAACAATGTTCACGGTTAATGTGGTACAAAAGAACTGTACGTTTACAATACAGAGTGTTGACTAAGAAACATATACAGGTTGTTAGGTATATAATAATAATAATTTAAGGTTCTTATATTATATACCACTCAATCACAACCTAGTTCGTAGACTACCATGCCTCCTTAAATAATGCTATATCAAAATTTTATATATATATACATTGGATAAAAAACAGCTTCTTGTAAACATTTCACATTTATTTAACATTTCATAAAGAACACATATTTGCTATGTATTATGATGTGTGGCCTGCATGTAGTTTACTGAATTGGTGTCAGCAAAATGCATTTCAATGCTCAAACTCTTGAGAAATCTTGAAGATTTCAAAACATTAATATGTTTTAATATTTTAAACATTTTTTGACACAACACTTACTTCACTCTTAAAAAATAATACCGATCCTTATTTATGCTAAAGACAAAAAAAACATAAATAACAAAATAATCTATATATAGTAACAATGTTCACGGTTAATGTGGTACAAAAGAACTGTACGTTTACAATACAGAGTGTTGACTAAGAAACATATACAGGTTGTTAGGTATATAATAATAATAATTCAAGGTTCTTATATTATATACCATTTAATCACAACCTAGTTCGTAGGTCATCGCAAAGCGGTTCACAAATTACTATCCGTGGTTATAGGGCCTTTGCAACTAGCTAACATTGTTCTCAACACCCTGGGGAGCATACAGCCGGTGCTGCCATTTCGGCGCTCACAGAAAGCTTTCAACAATTCTACCACTGCCCAACCACGTACTCATTTAAAGCTGAGTAGACTGGAACAGAGCAGAGTAAGTATCTTCTCAAAGATACAACACAGTGCCGTGCCCCGACTCGAACCCGCAACCCTTCGGTCACGAGCCCAGCGCTATCGTCCTTACCACTAGACTACCACGCCTTCTTAAATAATGCTATATCAAAATCTTATTTATACATTGGATAAAAAACAACTTATTGTAAACATTTCACATTTATTTAACATTTCATAAAGAACACATATTTGCTATGTATTATGATGTGTGGCCTGCATGTAGTTTACTGAATTGGTGTCAGCAAAATGCATTTCAATGCTCAAAATCTTGAGAAATCGTGAAGATTTCAAAACATTTGACCTCTAGCTGTGACCTTTCATATCAGGCAACATAGTTGCTTTGGACTATCTTCGTAGCCATACCCTATCAAGATAATGACTCCAGGTCTAGTCAATGTTGAAAAGAGGTTGGAACTTTTTGATGCAGGAGATTCTGTGAATATGAACGCGTGTCATTTACATGCGCAAATTTTCTATTCGTTCATTCCAGAAAGCACACTGGCATATTTTATCGAATGAGGTTGCTTGAAAATTTTCAATGCATCTGATCTAGATCTATCAGCTTATATAAGGCACGATAAAATAATAACTCTAAACAACACAGTTTTTGTAGAAATCAGTTGAATTAGTTTCAGATTCAGATTCTTTATTCCTCATGTTTTACAACACTACGGGGAGAAGACAATAGTATACAGTATAAACAAAACAATACAATGCCATACAGTATAAAAGTACAGCATTACAGTGTTAAACAAAGTCATGTACATTATGAAAAGCATACTTGCGAACACTCCCTATTTAGGAGGGAGATTCCTGATTTTGGACTCTAAAATTGAGCATTTTCAAACTGTGAATTATATACAATTGATTTGCTGATTCATCTGAAAGAACAGCTCAAAAGATGCTGTTTAGACATGTCATGTTTTCCCTAGGGTGTACATACACACATTTTATAATGTAATCACCCAAATAGAAATTTCAAAAAGTTGGCAAACATGAAAAAATAGTTCTACATCTAATCTTACTTCATAATACAATGATATTGACACATTATTCTAATTCGGCATATAAACATTGAAAACAGTATACGGCTTGAAGCTTTTTATTTTTTCCCCAAATCATTAACAAAATAAGATATTTTTTATTAAGTTATAACCGGAACAAGAAATCAGACTTCAGCACAAAATTCATTCATGAGCATGAGAATGGTTTCATGAATACAGGCCCTGGTTTCCTGTTGTGCACCCCCATATCATGATATACTTAATTAACCAAAACCTTAATTATTATTACACAGTTTACACATCAGTTCTTCATTGCCAGTACAGTCTTTTCTATCATGGAATTTTTCTCCACATAGTCTACATTCTATCACATGGTCTTTTCCAATCAAAGGAAGTCTGCATGAAACACAAAGATTAATTCTGAATGCTTTCTGCTCCTGAAAATTGTCTTCTGGAATGGCAACCATATTGGAGTGATCGATTATCGGGAATTCATCTAGACTGTCAGACAAGAAACATTCAACAAGATGGCCTCTCATTCTGGAACAATCCCAAACCATGTTCGAGGGGTCATTGCCATTGGCTAAGCTTACCATAGCAGCAATAGCAAAGAGCCCACAGTCTCCTTTAAAATTTTGTTTCTGATATTTCGGTAGTTCTAGCGTAAGAAACAGCTTCTTGGGCTTCAGGAGGGATGCAAGGTCTAAAACGAATCGGTTGGTTGGGGTTCTGTAAAAACTGTCGTAAACCTTGACATGGCTTTGTGACGTTTGGCACAGCAGGTTGGTGATTGTCACCCAGTGGTTCTTGCCCGTGTGACATATCTGGATGAACTCCCCCTGGTAATTTTTACTGATGTTCTCCAGAGACGCCAGTGCTACTACAGAAGCATCTTGTAAACCTCCAATATGAGGGAACTGTTTTCTAATGATTCCCATCGCCCTGTCCACATCTGTATCCTCCAGTTTGTACCTTGAGTCAAGAATGCTATTTGCATTCTTCTCCTCCAGTATTTGTGGAACCGATTTAGACTGGCAGAACGGTTTTGCTTGTCGACGTAACCGGTGCCCAGCATACCTATCTTTGTCACTTGATATTATTTCTGACTTTGAGTGATGCAAATATCTTGGATTTGAACTCAACACTTCCTCATCTTCCTGTAAGTTTTCACTGTCTGCATCGTATTGATCGACAGTATCGAGGCTGAACGTTACTGGGGATGCCCTTCTAAGCGGTGAACTGTGATAAGGGAATAGCACTGGGGATGTGTGAAAAGGCAAAGGTGCTTTGAGCATGGCAGTCTCATCCAGTGTCTCCGTGGAGGTGAAATGTCTGGAGGAAACCCTGCCCATGTCCAAAATACCTATCAATTACACAAACAAATGCTGATTTTAGTGACAAACATTGATTGTTGTCGCTATTTTGAACAATATATTATATTTATAATACAAGAATCCCTAAGGGCAAACCAAATCTCTGACTCAATGTAAGGGGTGGGCTTATTACACGACAATGTCATGAAATAGCATTTGTCGGCATTTCTTCTTGCATGATATATGGGTGGGCTTATTACCAGGCATGGGCTTATTACTGGAGAAATACTGTATTATATAACATGCATTTTAACTCCCTTCTTAAAATGCCTGATAATGGCAGGTTTTTCTCAGGTAAAATATTGCATACTTTTCACTTTCTTCTCAGAAAAGTTTGGAGACATGATCCAGTAATGAAGAGTGGTCATACTATTATTAGACTTGTTGGTCTAAGACCAATGATTGTTGCTTAAGTCTTCCTTTTTAATGCTGACATTCATTGCAACTTCGTCCAAACTCTGCTATCTCCAACAGCTTTTTTTTGTCTTTCTTGTGCATTTCCATTGTATTTTCCTTGTAATGTATCCATTTTTTTCTATCTATGACAAAATTCATGTTCGACAATTGCAAATATAGCCCAAACCTTCATTACACAAACAAATGTTTTATGGCAACATGTCTGGAAAACTTCATTCACCCCTGAAATTTCATAATGAACTATTCCAACCCTTGAATTGGAAGAGTTCAAATGTGTCTTCAGGGGTGAATGAGTTAAGTATCCCTGTACCAATGGCAAAAAGATTGTAGCCAAGTGTTCTAAATGTTTTTCCAGGGTGACTATAGTTTTGATAGAGAAGAAGACCCTACCTTGCAAGACTTTTATGAGAAATAATAAAGAGGGCATAAACAAACATTATAATCAACCCTGGATTAATTATTCTATCTCTCTAACCAATTAAGCTACTTTGACTTTCTACTATTACATCCAAACAGAGTTAAGGGGAGGTAACTGTATATAAGAAAAACAACAGTGCAGCAGGACCGAGATCCTAATTAAGGCCTTGCCATTTTATCTGCCTGGTCGAACTGAAGAGAAGTTGAAAACTGTCTTGGCCAATCAAGATGTCCGAGTGGCCATATTGGATTTCTGTCGATAATGACCCAATTAATAGTTACAACAATTGCCATGGTCACATAAAAAAACACCACGTCTTTGCATAACTTTGGATTTTATTCGGCTTTATAACCTTGAAAAGTTAAAATTGTCCCAAATGATGAAGACTTGGCTTACTGTTCAGTAGACGTCATGTCATTTTGAGGTCAGTCCACAAGTATTTTTTGCTTAACCAATTTCCCAAATATTTTGTAATAAGAGCTTAAGATGAAATCATGGAAAAGGTTGCTATATCAACTACGCTTGGTATCTATGATCTTGTATAGTGCAACTATGCCTGCAATCATTAATCTTGCATACTTCTACTATGCTTGCGATCTTTGAGTAAAACTAAAAACTTGAAAAAGTAGGCTTGCTGATATCCTTCCTTTGCTGCCAATAATGCTGGATCAGATCCGAAAATGTTCACAGACAATATTTCATCCTCATCCTAAGTTTGAATTAAGAGCCTACATGAAATACTTGGAGTAAAGGAAAGTTTAATTCTGAAAAGACATTTTTCTTCATTGAGGTCAGTGAGGTCAAATTACTGTTTGCAGTGACTTATTCTAGTATGCGATAACCTATCTGTCTTCCCTGCAGGACTCTGATAAGTGAAAATAAAAAAAATTGAACAGTACAAGAGCTGGTCTGGAAACAACTTCCCAACTTTAGCTTCTGGTCAGTGTTCAAAATATAGGCTGTTATGTCATTTGTTTTTGATTGCAACAATCTTCTTTCCTAAATGTGACCACATAGATATATACTAGGTTGTGTGACCCTATGCAGGAAACAGTGAGCTTGAGAAACACTTCAGATGGATGCATGCATTCACACACATACAATGCAAACTCTTTTATAATATCTATTGAGTTCTAACTTAATTGTTTTCATACACATCACAATCATAACATTCAAACTCGGGGAAGACAAGCATTTTATGGAAGTGGATGTGTATCCTGCATCTAGCTGACACTGACAGCCAGGTTGATTTTAAAATTTGGGTCAAATTTGCACTTGAGAGAGTAATTGATCAAACATTGTATAGGTGTTTCTAGAATGTGTCATGAAATCCAAAACACATTCTTTCGAGGATTATTGCATGGAAACCATGTGACTTTTTCATAAAATTCAAGATGGCCACTGACAGCCATGTTGATTTTTGCACTGGGTTCAAAATTGACCATCATTGTCACTGCCAAGAGAGTAGACCCTTTAAGATAACTTTGCTGAACAGGTGACAAAACTATCAAATAAACTTAGACTTATTCAATATTTTACGGCAATACCAATTGGCTTAAGCCAGGTGAATTTTTCAGCAAAATTCACATGTTTATTTTAGCAAAATACCAATGCAGATCTTATTCCAGATTATCTTACTAACCTTGATGTTGCTGGTGATCATGGGGGTGACCACCGTATTGCTGGCCTGGGTCTCCTAAATTTCGTGAATGTCGGGTACTAGGACCACGAGACATGCCCCGTGACTTTTCTGCAGTCTCAAAGGCCTATAAAACAAAATGACTGAGTGAAAATCTGTATATCTCTTGGACTGTTGCTGTACACCACTTTGGTAGTGGAATGTTTATATATTAATATATTCAGTTATGTTGCCTGGCCCCAATCTTCTGATCAGTTTAAAAATTATACATTTACAACTAAGGACCAAAGGGAATCCTACATATAAAATATCTTTCAAGACCTTCCTGAACTAGAACACTGGCAGGTCAGTAAGGGCCTCGTCGTGTGGCAATATATCCCCCATAATCATCAAAAAGCAATCTGTCCATATAGCTGAGCTTGACGTCTGACATTTGGACTTCAAAAAGAATCGCAAGGAAGCAAAATATACTCTTTACATGTACTATGATGTGAGTCTTGTTTCCATCCATCTCCATATTTGCTGGACTAACAGAAATGTAAATACCGGTGCAATACTCATTTGTTAGCTTTGATTTGTTTTATTTCACCTTATATACCTCCTCCATCAAGAGGCAGGGTCAAAGTCAGAGATCCAATTTATCTTTGACCTTCGGACCCAAATGACCTTGACCAGTTGACTTATCCTTTAATTCCGACCAACTTTGCTTCTTAATATCATAACAAAATGTTCATCAGTGAAAAATACAGAACTTGACCTTGACACTTTGGACCCCGTAACCTGGACCTAAGATCAGTTGACTCTGTGTTAAGTTCTGAACAACATTGCTTCATAATGTCATAACAAAATGTTCATCAGGGATAAGGCACAAAATTTAACTTTCACCTTTGACCCAGTGACCTTGACCTTTAGTCAATTGACTCCTTGTTTAATTCTGATCAACTTTGCTTCATCATGTCATAACAAAATGTTCATCAGTGAAAAGATGTAAAATTTGACCTTGACATTTGAACCTAATGACCTTGACCTTTGACTTTGACTTTTTACCACAATGTTTATTTTTGTGAAGTGAACTTCTTGACCAAGTTTCATGTACATCGGTCAATAAATACCAAAGTGATCAGCCAGGAACAAAATTTGTGGACGGAAAGACTATAGTAATCACTCTGTCTGACGGACAGACAGACAGACAGACAGTCTGTCTGTCTGTCCGTCAGACAGAGTTATTACTATAGGGCACCCGTATCTCCGATACGGGGCCCTAACAAGAGATCCCAGAGGAATTTTGGTGCCTACCATTGTAAGATCTTCATTTGTCATTTTGATCTATTCCCTTGATTTCTCTCTTTTTACTTATCTGTTTGATTGATAGTCTTGGAAACAGTAAATATATTTTGTGGTAAATTTTTATCAAAATTTCTTTAACTCTGGGTTTGAGAGTGTCCTTTCAAAGTGAGGTCATAACCATCACAAACTTAAATTCTAAAAAATCAAAGAAACCGCCTGGCAGCATTTTTTTCCCAATAAGTGGCAAAATGAGATATTCACAACTAGAGACCGAGAGAAACCCTCATATGAAATTTCAGAAAAAATGTCATGTACTTCTTGAGAAATAGCTATAACAAGCTTAAATTATGA